GACTTTGGCCTATGTGCAGATGAAGCCCAAGGAAAGTGTACATCTGGGGTCCCAACCTGGATGACCCATGCCATCCGTGGCCAAGCCTCTTTCAGCACCAGCAGCCCCTGGTCTCCACCCCAGACCTGCCCTGCAACCTGGCCCTCAGCCCAGCTCCAGCCCCCGCAGCCGCCTGCCAGAGACCACAATTACAGGGGCCACTGGGGGTGGGGGTGGGGAGTTTGGAGGATGAAAGGCGCTGGAGAATGGTTCCAGCTGTGGCAGCTCTGGGGGAGGTCTCCTGGAGGGAGGGCTGGGGGAGGCACGGGGTGAGAACAGGTGGGACCCTCACAACCCCAGCCTAGCCCAGTCTAGTCCTGTTCCTTCTTGATGCTCAGCTGCAGAAGTTGGTCTTAGTGAAGAAGAGAAGATCTCTAGATGGATAAAGGCCCTCCATCCTGTCGTCCCTGCCTTCATCAAGGTAAGGGGAAGTGGCTTACTCTTAATCCAGGGCTCCAGATTCCTCCTGTGTGGCTCTCAAAGGGAAAGAGAGATGAGTTGGGAGTTCTTGGCCTCAGCCGCACCCTAGGCCTTCCACTCAGCCTTTTAACCCATCTGCCTATGTTCTGCCTTTTCCTGATGCGGTCACACACACATCTGGGGTGCTTCAGTGCTCCTTCCCTTTGCCCAAGTTCCACATGCCCCCCCCCAAAGCCAGCAGGGGACCTTGCCTGTGCCTGGGGCTGAGCAGCTGGGTGAGCTAGGGGAGCGGATGTCAGTGGGGCACTTTTGAGGTCTGTCTCGCAGGGGTCCTTGGGTAGCAGTGCAAGAGCACTGTGCCATCTCTATGCTTGCAGAGAACTGGGCTCCTGACCTCCCACCATGCCTCCTGCTGGGCACTGCTATCCGTAAATTAGGGATCTCCCAGACCCTTGTGAAACTTGGTCTTAAGAAGATGGATTGCTGTTATGTGACTAGCCACTCCAAGACTGCAATAGAACTGGATATCGTAGCGCATGCCTTCAATCCCAGCACTGGGGAGGCAGAGGCAGGCAGATCTCTGAGTTTGAGGCCAGTCTGGTCTACAGAGCTAGTTTCAGAACAGCCAGGGCTACACAGAGAAACACTGTCTAGAAATACCCCTCTCTGCAAAAAAAAAAAAAAAAAAAAAAAAGACTGCTGTCTACTCTGTATTCTCACCAGGTGCCAAGAAGCTCCCAGAGAGCCCAATTTTGTGATGGAATCACTGAGACATGGACAGGGTAGCCTCTTAGTTGCTTAGCTGGCGTCTTTAGGGTCTTAGGGTCTTGAAAAAAAAACCTATGTCTTACCTTCTTTTCAACCTTCTTGGAGTAGCGTTGGCTCAATGTCATTTGCCTCACTCAGTCTGTTTTTTTGGTATCACAGCGGAAAATACTCAACATCTACATTATCCGTCTCGTCTCAGAACACCCTACGAGAACCAGGCAGTCATAGAGACATAGACTGGAGTCCCAGTCCTAGGTCTGGTCAACCTAGAGGTCCCAGACAGCGTGACCCAAACTGTCCCTGAGTCTCTTGGCTTTCTTTTAGTATTGCCACTGGGGCTTCCTGCTCTTGAATTCCCCAGACGTCCTCCTCCTGCAGCTCTCAGTCAATAGAGAAGTTTAACTCTGAGGCCCTCTGGTGGTCTATTTGAGAAGTACAAGAGATTGAAAAAACCGCTGGGTTGAACGCTGGGCTTTGTTAGCGCCTGGGTGACTTGCATAGGGAAAGGAAAGGAAAGGGATGGGGGAGACTGGGAGAGGGAAGGGAAAGGAAGACAGTAGAAAGAAGGGGAGGAGAGAGTGGTACAGCATCAGCTCCGTCCCAAAGCTCTGGGACTATAAACTCCACCCCTCGGAGCTTTCCTCTCCCCTGTGTGCCCCTTAATGCCATTTCTTACCCCCCCTTGAAAAGTTAGAGTATTCTTTGGTCAGGAGGTTCTGATTTCAAATTCTCCGTTGAGGTTGCCCTGAAGCTCTGGTTGCAGGGGCATCCTGGGAGTAGATGGATGTTCTGGAAGCCACCATTAGTGTGTGTCCTGAAGTTCCCTTCCCCTGTTTCATTTGAAGAACTCTGTGCCCCGGTCCCCTGTGGTCTTAGGAGTCTGCCAATCTGCCAAAGTAGTGTATGTTTCCCTGGGGAGTGTTACTGGTTCAAGCTGAACTAGTCAGTGTCTTTCGTGGGACTACAACTGAGGAGGCTTTTAGAAATAGGTTTATTTTTGTGTGTGCATGCATGCCTTGCCTGTATGTATGTTTTAGCACCGTGTGGATGTCTGGTGTCTGCAAAGCCAAAGATGAGGTTTGGTCCTTTGGAGCTGGAGTTAAGGATGTTTGTGAGTCTCCAAGAAGATGCTGGGGACTGAACCTGGGTCTTCTGATAATGCTCTTAAACACCGAGCAGTTTCTTCAGCTCCAGGATCCCCCTCCCTGTAAAAGAAAAGTCATCATTCCTATGCATGGAGGCCTAAAGCTGTCAGAGAGAGGAAATGCACAAGGGGAGAGACTGCAGGTGGGAGACAGAGTGGTGAGCTGAAACAACATAGGGGCGGGGCCTGAGGAATAGAGAGACGCGGGGGTGGAGGAGACAGAGAGGCCTGTAACGATAGCACTGAAGTCTGTGCACTCAGTTCAGCTGTGGCTGAAGTCAGACTAAATTCTGCAATTCCTCTGGGCCTAGTCTGAAAACTGGATGTCTTCATTTGCAGTCAGAGCTGCCCATAGCAACAACTGCCCTTCGTGAAACATACATACACGTGACATAATTCACCAAATGCCATGCTAAGTGTTCTTCATATCTCAAGGAAAAGAAATCCTCCCGATGTTCTCCGAGGGTGTGAGATGGGCCAAGATGGCTACAAATTCCCTGTCGACTCTGTGATCTGTTCCAGCCAAGAGAGAGCAACAGTAATATTATATAACTCCCGTGGCGGGATTCTCAGAAGACAAAATCTGCCTGGGGGTTTGACACGTTCTCTTTTCTTAAAGTCTTTCTATCTTCAGGCCACCACACTGGAAGAAAGCCCATGCCAGCCACAGAGAGATCACTGGAGAACCAGAGTCCTTAGGCGTGGAAACAAGTCCTCCAGAGCTCCCTTGTCCAGCAGAATGACCCCAGGCACTCTGCATGTGGTCTGCCCTCTGAACCAAACCAGGGAGCTGAGTTCTGGCACACAGCTGTCCAAAAAGAATACTGAGTGGTTACTTTGAGGCTGTTGTTATTTAGCAAGGGATAAGAGAATGAGAGTGAGGCCACACAGGTAGAGAAACAGGGCCACGCTGGCCTGTGCTACACTAGCTTCAAACTCAATCGTCTGAGCCAGGAAGGGTAGAGTCATCCCCCAATGGCAGCATTTGCAGTGGGGGACTCTTCCACAGTTGGGGTGTTCACCCTGTTTTCTTGAATTGCAGATGAGGGCGCAAGCCTCAACTCTAGAGAACCCAGAACTAGTCATGTGACCTTTTTAACTCCTCACAATCAGCATCCTGAGGGGAACCAGCTTAAAAAAATCATGGTTGGGGCTGGAGAGATGGCTCAGAGGTTAAGAGCACTGCCTGCTCTTCCAGAGGTCCTGAGTTCAATTCCCAGCAACCACATGGTGGCTCACAGCCATCTGTAATGAGAACTGGCACCCCTTCTGGCTTGCGGGCACACATGGAAGAAATGCTGTACACCTAATTAAATAAATAAATATTT